TATTCTTTTCAAAAAGCAGTGTTTTTACCAGATGTTTTAAAAATCAAATTCAAGCAGATACCATTTTGTGAGGGTTGCATTTCTCAGCACAGGCCTCGATTCTCAATCTGTTAGCGTTTATTGTTTTTCACACAAAATCATGTTTTTATTCAAATTTCTTTTAATAACCCTTTTTATTAGTTATCTGATAAAGCTTGGTAATACTATTAAACCTGACTTAGTGAACACCTCCCTAGAGTGAACATCTCTGTCTCGTGAACACCCCTTCTCCAGTTCTCAGCACATACTCCACTAACAGTCTGACATCTGTATAAGATCACTTCTGTAGTGAACACCTACATACAGTGAACATATTTCTTTGGCTCCATTGGGGTGTTCACTAAATACAGGTTTTACTGTGTTCTGATTGTCTATAGGGTGATATGTGTGAAATACTAATTAACAATCTCAGTAGAAAGTATCATAAAATGTACAGTTTTTCATATTGTAATAAGACGTCAAATCAGTTGTATGTAACATGATAGGAAGGTGACGATTTAGCAACATGGCTAATTGCATTTATTATATACAACAGGTCCTGGATATTATATATAGATATAAATTAATACACTGATAAGGAGAAAATGCTGAACATTCTACATTCCATTGTGTGATTGATCAATATTACACTTTGCTTATAATCCGATGGGCACTGTCTGTACAGTAAAACCTGTCTTATTATACCTCTCTAGTGAACACCTGTCTCTAGCGGACACCCTTCATCTGTACATACTTTACCGACTTCTGTATAAATTATCCTTATGGTAATGTAGACCGACAGTGAACATAATTTTGTGGCTCAATAGGTGTTCACATGAATTGTAAACAAGAATTGATTGTAATACTTAAACAATGTCTGATATAAAAATGACATAATCATTTTGTTGGCTTTAACTTGAATACAACTCTTCATATAGGCTCATATTTGAAAATATCAAAGAAAATTTGTGATTCAAGTATCTGTTTTATAAACAAGATAGCTAGTGTTTAGAAAAATGCAAGGCAAAGAGTGTTATGGACAAAAAAAAATTGAAAAATTACTCTCAACTTGTCGCTACTGTTTGTCCAATTATCAATTTACATGAACACCACAGGATGATAACGCTATAAGATCTATTTTTTAGACTACAATGAAATCATAAATTTTTGATATGGTACAGTGATTAGGGAATTGCCATGAGTGAAGTGGTATAGTTATGGGCTGCCATTTAACATAGAATAAGCACTTAACTGCAGCAAATCAGAACTCACAAAGGGCAACATTTGAAATAATATAGCTAAATTAATTAGCTGATTGCCAGATACAAACAGTTCAATAAGCAGAACTTTATTTTCCTGCTCTCCTACCTAACGACTTAGGAATGTATATGCATATTACGCTATCATCTTATTAATCATCTGATTGAATTGTCTGGTAAATGCTAGAAGTACAGTAAAACCTATCTAATCCAAATGTCACTATAGGATGAGCCTAAAGTGTTCCACTTAGCAGGTGTTCATACTTCAAGGTTTCCAATTATCAAATTGGAACAGAGAAAAAGTATTCGCATGGAGATGTGTTCACATTGAGATGTGTTCACATTGAGATTTGTTCACATTGAGATGTGTTCACATTGAGATTTGTTCATATTGAGATTTGTTCACATTGAGATGTGTTCAGCTATACATGTTTAAATTTACCCTCCAAACATGTTATAATGTTCACATTGAGATTTGTTCACATTGAGATTTGTTCACATTGAGATGTGTTCAGCTATACATGTTAAAATTTACCTTCCAAACATGTTATAATGTTCACATTGAGATTTGTTCATGTTGAGATGTGTTCACATTGAGATGTGTTCACATTGAGATTTGTTCACATTGAGATTTGTTCACATTGAGATTTGTTCATATTGAGATTTGTTCAGATTGAGATTTGTTCACATTGAGATTTGTTCATATTGAGATTTGTTCAGATTGAGATTTGTTCAGATTGAGATGTGTTCACATTGAGATTTGTTCATATTGAGATTTGTTCAGATTGAGATTTGTTCAGATTGAGATGTGTTCACATTGAGATTTGTTCATATTGAGATTTGTTCATATTGAGATTTGTTCACATTGAGATGTGTTCAGCTATACATGTTTAAATTTACCATCCAAACATGTTATAATCATCTAAGAAAAACATGTGCGGAAACAATAATCATAAATAGATGGTGAATCAAATAGGTTGTTCATAAACACACATATCTCCTTCAAGGTAGAGGATGGGTGTAAGTTTATCTATGTTAAAAAGTTTGTCAAAATGAAGAGAGAGTCGGACAACACTGGTAAAATCATGTCTAAAAATGACCACCGATAGAGGGATCCATAGATGTATTGCCAAAATAATGTGTGTTGATCATTCTTGCATGTATTTTCATTGGCCTATAAAATATCATCAAAATCATTCTACCACTATTTTTTTTCAAATAGCTGCCAAGCAAGTCATTGGAAATGATACTTGCAAATCCCCCCACACTTGCCATGTATACCTTTATATTAATGTATCATCTAATATGATATCTCTCTTGGAGAAAAATGCCTTGAAATGTCATCGAGACCTGCTACATTATTTTCTTGAAAACAAATCAAATTTAGAAATATGAAAATAAAAGCTTCGAGCTAAACCTGACTTGGCTGTAACAGTTAATGCAGTGCATATTTTTACTGATTTAAATGACTTTTAGACAGACTCTAATTGTTCTTATACATCAAGGCGTAGTGTCTAAAAACCTTTGACATGATAATCATTTTTGGCGTAACATGTTTACAGGTTTATTTTTCTCGTATTAATTGATTTTCTGCTCAAGGCTTTTTAAGATTTAATTACGACTACTCATGCCCTGGGCAAAATATATTTATTACATAGAATTTTGTAAACATTCATTACTTTCTGAATTTTATTACCTTTTGAAATTGAATTTCACCTCCACCTCTATCATATCATCTATCTTTATTTTTAAAGATCAAATTTTCACCAAGGCTGAATTTTCAACTAGATCATTTTATATTGAGTAAATGAAATGTTGAATGCTAATGATATTTTGATGTTGGTAAGCAAACATATCATCTTGTCAAAAAGATTTATTGGTTTTTTTTTGGTAAATATTTGGCAAATCACTTGTTTAAATTAACTCTCTCCCATAGAAGTGAAAGTCAGCTTCACATTATGTATATACAATATCCTTGAGTCCAAAAATAAAAATTTTCAGCCTATTTGATTGTGAGTACATCATTGGATAAAGAGGATATTTTTTCTTGGAGGTTTCACTCTTTTTCAGATGATCTGTAATGTTCACGTTAATTATCAAAGCTTTTGAAAACCAGGATAAATAACATTTAAATCTCACTAAGATATTATAGGGGGTTTTGGATCTCTGTAATTCTCTTTGGCTCTTGATTATGGTTTTAACTTTGCATGTCGTATAGATGGAAGCCTGGTCAATATTTTACAATGAAGCTTTAAAGGCCCTATGTAAAGTTTAATCACTTTGGCTTATATTGTAGTCGTACATATTTTTATCAAGATGTGATAATATTCAAAGGTTGTTTTGAATAAAGTCAGATATGTTGATACACTATACATGCATTCCACAAGGTTTCAAGAAAAAAGCCCGATGATGCAGTCACTGAATTTGCACCGCCACTTTCCTTTTGGTATGACAGAGTCTGCTATTTTATCACATAAGGTTGTTTTTACTTTTGTAAGAAAAATTAATAAATTGCATTTAAGTAACAACTGCAAATTGTAAAATTGCACAGTTTGTATATTTATTTCATAATAAATAGTTAAAGCCACTTGTACATGTTAAAAGAAATAAAATTAATGAAAATGACATTATATCCAACGCAGAATTGTCTATTGGTCTGATGATGTCATAATGCTTATTGGCTAGATGCTGCCACAGAATAATAATAAATATAGTCAGCCTATTTTGTGTGATATTTACAGTTTATATGAATTTGATGGATAAAATGCATACTTTTTCAAACTTTTAACCAATTTGAAAAAATCTTTGCAGTCTGTGCTATGTAAATGATATGTATGTTTGTTTTGTGATCTATATAATCATAACAAAATAAAGCAAAACTGCTAAGTTCAATGTTTTTATAGAAGCGAGAAACAAGTATAAATTAAATCAACAGGCATGGGCAGTCAATGGTCAATGTATTGGAATACCACAAAATCTTTTTTTCCTGTTAGAACATTACATTGAACCTACTTGCTCATTAATATACCATTATTTGTTTCACCCCTAATGAAAATCATGAAATATACTGTAAAAGAAGCCCAACAGGTGAAACGTAGATTCTTCAAAGGGCACATGAGGTATAGATTAATCTTCCATATAAATAGTCTTGTGTAAAGTTGTCTAATTCCCAATATTCTTTTTTCTTTATAACATATGGAAGTTGTATATATTTCAATCCAGTATATTTGTGCTCTTCTTATAACATGTGGAAGTTGGTGGCATATTTTACTCCACTATATTTTCTTTTCTTTTAGAACAATCAATTCAGAAAATTTTCTCTTTTCTTGATTTTTTTGTCTTATTAAACTATACTTAGGGGCCGGGTCAATGTTTCAATGTCTGTCAAAAAACATAATTAATTTAGTTAACCCCCCTCTCCCCCTTCTAAAGAAAGTCAAAATATTGATTTGTGCACAGTGTAGATGAGTCAAAGTGTTGATTTGCAATATACAAGTACAACCCCAACATGCATACAATATCTGATACTGCTATAAACAACACATTTCAAATTCTCTTTATATATACCTGTTGAGTATTTTTAATTATCATACTATGGCTGTCGAACCAGGAATTACATAAGACGAAACGCAGAGAAACTCTAAAAATCAATGTCTGTTACTTAATTAGATAGCGTTAAACCCCCTCCCCCTTTAACATAATTAATTATGTTTTTTGACGGACATTGAAATTTTGACCCCGCCCCTTGAAGTTTGAAAAGGCTAAACAATGATCTAACTCAGAATAAATACTTTTTTTCGGCAATTTGGACATAAACGTCGATGATCAGGCTTACTATAAGATATTGACCAAAATGAGAGTTAAAATGATGACCACACCAATTAGACAACCAGCAATATTGATATTTCGTGCATTTCTGCTTTTCTGTTGTGCTGTTCTCATATCGCCATTAGCTGCTGCTCCACGTGATGCAACTGATGTTATAATTGCCCAGATACCTAAAATAAGATAGTAAAATGTATATACATTTGTGAATTATATACAGTAAAACCTGTCTTAGTGAACACCTTTCTCCAGAGAACACTTGTCCCTAGTAGATACCTCTCTTACGCACATACTCTACTGTCCTTTGTATAAATTACTCTCTCTGTAATGAAAACCTAGATAGAGTGAACACATTTTTGTGGCTTCATAGTTGTTCACTGTACACAGGTTTTTCGGGAGTCAAATGGTAATTCTCTAAATACATAATTTTTCTATTAATTTTCAAAAATTGAGCCATTTTTCAAATATTAATGCATAATCTAAAATTGAGACCCAAAATAGCCTATTTCCAGGCATAAAATGAATGCCTTTTTGGAGAAGCTCTGGGAGCCCTGCCCTCTAGCTCTCTAATCCTAATCCAGCAATGCATCATTTATTTATCATATTATAGCAATTGATATAAACTCACATACCTAGACAAAGACAGCAACACAGTGTAGTTATGATAGACCATGGGAGGTAATCAGGAGGAGGGTCGTTATTACTAGCCCATACAGGTGTAGCACCCTTCTCTGTTGTAGGCTGGGCTGTAACAGGTGGATGTGTATACAAGGAACGGGTTTGACCTGGTGGTGTACAAGGGATACCTTGAACTGCTTGGGGGTATGGGTTACCTTGACTTGGCTGGTTATAGGGACTGCCTTGACTTGGCTGGTTATAGGGGGTGCCTTGACTTGGCTGGTTATAAGGGCTGCCTTGACTTGGCTGGTTATAAGGGCTGCCTTGACTTGGCTGGTTATAAGGGCTGCCTTGACTTGGCTGGTTATAAGGGCTGCCTTGACTTGGCTGGTTATATGGGCTGCCTTGACTTGGCTGGTTATAGGGGCTGCCTCGACCACCATGGAGTTGGGGGTCAGATTGACCTTGAGAAAATGTTTCAGTATCAGCATTGCTTTTTGGAGAATCAACCTTGTCTTTGTCAATATTTGCATCATCTTGACCTTCCTGGATAAACGGGCCTCCTGGATTTGTGTCTGGATTGGCTTGCCACTCAGTTGGAGAGAACTCAGGTGAAGGCATATAGAGGGCTCTTGGTCCTCCACGAGTAAAGGGGTCAATTTGAATTGGTTGTTGAACATGGTCACTGGGAGCTTGAACTCCTTGACCTCTTTTAGCATAAGGACTACCTTCCGATATCCGCACATAAGGATTACCTCCTGGTCCAGGGTCATTTGGATCAAATTCACCTTCTTTGTATACGGCTGGGTAATATCCTGCATGATCTTCATTACCACTAACATTGTATGCAACAGTGTTATCCTGATGTGGATATTTTCCTGTTTGTGCATTAGTTGCATCCTGATTTCCTGTATTGTCCTCTTTTTTCATATCATCATTTCTTAAGGGAAAATCCTGGCTTGAGTTTGATGGAAATGGAGGTGTTTGGGATATATGAGGCTCCCTTGACTGGGGGATCCCACCTGCTGGATCATAGTAAGGGGTATATGCTGGTGGAGGCTCCCTCACAGGCACTGCCTGGTAGTCATATCCCATGTTTTGTCCTTTACCAGCTTCCATGGTGGCAATATCTGAAATATAAAAAAATTCAGTCATTTTTTTCCTATTGACTGTATCTGTCATAAAATTGCATCTGCACTCTGGGGATGCATGCTCTTAAGATAGAATATGGTACCTCCAGCCTTTATTATGGAGCTGTTACACTTAGGCTGTGTGGGCTCATTGGCTGCGTGAATTCTTTAGGGCAATCAGCAGGGCACAGCATGAATACGTTATGGGCAAAACAAATAGTTTTTCAACAAGATATCTTCCATCACACCAAATTCAAAATTTAATTGATTAATTAAAAAATTGATGCCTGAAATTAGCCACATGATGGGGAACTGTTACCCCATATGGCTAATGTGACAGCTACTTTATAGACATTAAGAAATCCATCATAGCAATTATGACACTGCATGGATGAATATAATATAACAATTTAATATAACGATGCACTTTAAGACGTTGCGATATGATGCATTTGATCCATGTAGCATGAACACACATATAGCACTTAATGTGTTCAGATTGTGTACAATATCTGTTCGATATTTTCAGTTTTCATCGAATTAAACTACTTCATAGTTGACGTTATACTTTGATATTTGAACCAAATCAGGCTTATATGACATAGAACCTTGGAGTGTAACAATTTGTTCATATATCGTACATGGACGCCACAGTTTGGTCATGTTAGTTTTCAATATGTGGAAACTGGACATCTTAGCTCTCTATTTTAACTCTCACAAGGTTACCGCATCACCGAATATCAGTTATCTTATCATATGTAAAACTAAAATCCCAGTTACCTTCCTTTAAGCGGTGGAAGATATCGTTAAACTGTGGTGCCTACTCATGGTACATGAACAAATGATCATACTTCAGAGTTTTCATGTCATGTACATAAGCCTGTGTTCAAATATCGAAGCATTACATCAACTATAAAGTGGTTTAATTTGATGAAAAAAACATATCGAGATCAACTCTAACCATCCGCCATCTTAGATACGAAGGTTACCGTCGTTATCTTCACTTGGTACTGACCAGTGCTATTGCTAAAATCTCAAGTGGGTGTTTGCCCACTTGCTTTGATGCTAGGGAGATCACTACATGTACTTTGTGCAACCATAAGGAGGTGGTGATGACATTATGAAAGGTTGTATCTTGTTATATTCATTTTGCTTTAGATGTCTATTTGTCTATTAGGCTTGCCATGACGCTGACAGGTGGTATGTCTAAATGCTGTGAATTGATAACCTAGCTGCCATTCCTTTACAGTACATACAACTTGTTGATAGGGAATGGGATTTTCAATGTGTTTAGATATTTAGGTGTATTTTATTTCACTTTTTAGTAAAAATGTACAATTAAAAGCGTAATTATATTGGAAAAAGTGACTATTGATTTGTTCTAAGGAAATTGATAACTAACCATAATTTTGGTTGTTATACGTATATGAACATTTAAAAAAAGATAATATATAGAAATTGAGTATTATCTCTAGTCAACATCCTTCCTTCGCACATACTCCACTAACTTCTTTATTAATCACTCTCTATGTAGTGAACACTTGCCAACACTGAACACAAAAAATGTTCAGTATACACAGGTTTTACTATATTAGTAGATGAAGCTATCTTGAAGACATGAAATCATTCTGTTGCAAAGGATATTTGCAAGTGTGACCTTGATTAACGTCATTAATTTTATGAAGATCTGCAACCAGGTTTTAACAGTTTGCACACTGTGATACTCTGTAGCAACATCTCATGTAACGTGTTATTATGATGTAAAATGAGTATTCTAGCACAGATGCACCAAGCAGTTGAGTTTCATTAATTAGTATATTGAAAGCTCAGTATGTGTAACATCACTATAATGTCTTCTTAGCCCAAGTTGAGTGGTTCATCACAAACATGTATGCGGAATACATTGTCGGCTATTATGATGATTTTATTGACCAAGCTTGCATTTGTGAATGCAACATGCGACTGTCAGCTGTCGGATTAACCTTCTATTTTATGACCAACTCATTTGAATATGAATGGAATAGTAGCAGGTACTATTCATATTTAAATGAGTTGCCCATAAAATAGTATGGAAATCCAGTAGTCGACAGTCGAAAGTTGCATTCGCGAATACAATCAACCATTGCAAGGCTTCCTGATTTGACGCCTTCTAAATCCACCCCTAGTATTTCCCATCTTAATGCTAAAATCTAGTTTTCAGCTTGATGGGCCTTTATGCAGATCGGAAGGTATCACACAAAATATATTCCCTAACCTGGTAAATAAAATATTCTTACCTCATTAAACAGATCTCTGAATTAAACAAAACCTCTCCTAATTCAGAGAATGAGCCTGTACAAATCTATCCTTCAATATTCTTGGTTCGCACTGCTGCACTCTGAAAATTTGTTTCTTAACACAGGTAGAACCTTTAGATCTCCTGCTACAGCTTACCGATTGTTCTTTGTGTTGAAGAGCATTCCTCATAGTTGCTACAACCATACAACTAAAAACTAATTTACACTTGATGAAAAATTGAGTTAAAATGATAAAGAACATATCTCATTTTTTGCATACTGATTTTAGATGCTTTTTAGATTGATTTGAATTTGGTTTTAGTATTTTATAAAAGTTCTCACATTTTCTTACGAGAGAAGAAATCAAATGTTGCGTGTTAAATTTTGTAAGGGAGATATGGCAAAAACAAATGTGTTTACAACAAATATAACCCAGAAGCCCATGTAATATATGAGTTAGGGGGTGTTTGTGAGGCTCAATGTTCCTAAGAATTTGCCAGTAGTCAATTAACCTGTCTGAATCAATCAATGGTTTTGTGTCAGTGGATTTGTTTGTATGAGCTTGGTTTGCATTTTATTGATCTATAAAATTTTTAGTAGGTCAATATTTTTGTGACCTCATTTTAGGTTTTAGGTATATAATCAGGGTCAGTTGCAAGGAAATAACAGGTGATTAACCGTTGTGTATGTATGTGAATGATGTTTATTCTTGGGAATATAAAATGTTTTAACAACAAATAGGGTTGACATTTAAAGAGAGAATCAGATCTAGCGAGCATGCAGCCTAACAAAAAATTGTTTCAATTTTAGAAAATTTCTGGCTTATGTCATTCATTGTCATGTCTATTTTCTATTTTCTTTTTTTAAAGTGCACACTTTATTTGAGAAAAACGTAAGATTTTTACAATAATGTATCTTTTTTTTTTCTATTAGAATGGTTACCATTCTTATTATTTGGGAGAATTTAAACATTTTTCAGACATTTTTTCACTTTGAATCCATAATAACTTCACCAATTTATAACATATCATGAATCTTTTGGGAGATATTGTATTTGAGATTGTAAGGAATAGATTGGTAGGTCAATTGTACATGTTGCTTGTAATTTTGTCACCCCCATAGATCTGATTCTGCCTCTAAGATAAAGTTAAAAATAATGGATACTTAATGCTGACATCTTATTAAGAATTGGGTAATGCTGGATAAAGTGCAATGTTTATCACCATAGTGATATCCGCAGCATTAAAGCAAGTGGGTGCAGCACCCACCTGAAATTTTGAAAACAGGCTTGTACCCACCTGAAAATCTACTTGCACCCACTTGAAAATGAGAAAATCATGAAAATGGGCATATTTTGACAAATTTTTGTCTCAATTGTGAAAATGAGAATTTTGCACCCACTTGAGAAAAAATCCTGTGGAGATCACTGCACCATGTGCCATGTTCCTTTTGCCCTGGGTGTCAGGACCTTTGGTCACTATGGTAACCATTTCAATTTAATATTGTTACAATAATTTTTTTGCTAGATCAAAATGTCTCGATGCATCAAAAATCCCAACACAGAATATTAAAAATAAAAAATGCTCCCTTATACTTTTATTACCTTTTTCCGTCTCATTTTTCATCACATCTCCATAAATGTATTTCATCTGATCCATCCACAAGGTTCTGTAATCTGTAATCTGATCAAGTTTCTTATATTTCATACAGATTAATTGATTCGGTGACAAGCTATATAAATGTATGTATATAAAAATGTTATAAAAGACAGATCATATGATATTGGATTTATCCCATGATACTAATTTTTTCCAAAGTAAGACTTATATTTTTCATGTTCTAGTTATTAGACTCCAGATGTCAATCTGGAGTCTATTGTTTTTGCCAGTATTCTTCTTTATTATTATTATTCTTCTACAAACGTTTTCTCCTTAACTAGAAGACATTGAGTCAAGTCCTGTATATGGTCAATTTAGGTCCAGTATCTAGTTTCTCGGAAATTGGGTCAATTTTTTATCTAGGTCAAAGGTCAAGAACTAGGTCAAATCTTACATTTTCAACATTCTATCAATTATCTTCGTCGTTATTTATCGAAACGTCTTCGTCTTTTTTTCAACATGTAGCTTAGAAAAAGCCCTTTCATAAGTGTCCCTGTTTTTTTTAATTACTCTTACCGATTTTGAAATATGGCGTCCAGAAAGTAGGTCAAAACAAAAGTTCTCCAAATTCAGGGTATGAGTTATGAATTAGGGGTAGAATTTTGTCAGGAATCTGAATCTGCAAACCAAATTTCGATCCGACTTCCGGTTCGGAAGTTATGTCGTTTAAAAAGTTCAAAAATCGCTAAATTTGGTGCCCATGTTAAGTCAATGGGAAAAAAGATTTTTTTGAAGTGAAGAATAGGAAATATAGACTGAGTTCAGCTTAATTTAATGAAAGCTTTTAAAAGAAGGGGACCTAAAAAGCCATCTAGCTTCAAAATTTGGACACCAACATGCCTAGGTCAAAATCTAGGTCAAATTCAAAGGTTTTCCTTATTTTTGCGATTCTGACACTACACTTCAATTTTATTCTTTGAAATTGTGTATACATGTAGCCAAGAGTGTGCTAATAGTGTTAGCCTTTTGCCGTCAGAAAGTATTTTGATCCACTTTTGAGATATGGTGTCCGAAAAGTAGGTCAAAAGAAAAGTTCTCAAAATTCAACGTATGAGTTATGAATTAAGGATAGAATTTTCTCAGGAATCCGAATCTGCAAACCAAATTACGATCCGACTTCCATTTCCGAAGTTATGGCGTGTCCAAAAAGTAGGTCAAAATAAAAATTCGCCAAATTTAACGTATGAAATAGGGGTAGAATTTTGTCAGGAATCCGAATCTTTAAATCAAATTTCGATCCGACTTCCGGTTCGGAAGTTATGGCGTTTTGAAATTTCGGAAAATCGATCTGATGGTATCCTGATAGAAAGTCAAGAGTAGAGAAGAAAATATTGAAAAATTCATCCATTCTTCCTATCTGATCGTATCCTATCCTTCCTATCTATCCTTCCTTCGTATCCTTTCCTTCCTATCCTCTCCTATCATATCCTTTCTTCCTATCCTCTCCTATCATATCCTTTCTTCCTATTCTGTTCTATCCTATCCTTCTTTCTTATTCTATCCTATCGTTCCTTCCCATTCTATCCTACCTTCCTATTTTATCCATCCATCTTATTCTGGATGACTCAGTTTATTCTGGATGACTCGGCTTATTTTAGATGACTGGGCTTAAAAAAGTCTAGATCTGGAGTCTGAAATTGAACTTCGTTCAATTTCCAAAGTCTAGTTATTATTATAATATTGGGAGCAGCAGTTTCACTAGAACTGGCTAAATAAATGAAAACAACAGGTTGAATTAATGGAAATCATAAACTGAACGGGGAAAAGTTGAAAAGTCCCTAAAAACAACAGGCGATGTTGTGAAAACAACTGGTGAAATTCGCCTGTTGCCTGCTGCTAATGAAACCCCTGGGGAGGCATGAGAGTGCCTTTGTATCTTTGAGGAGTTTGGAAATGAATTGTTTCATAAAAGATATGTCTCCCTGACACTCAATTAACATCAGATGAGATATCAACTAGCATTCATATATTTTAGAATTAAACACGAAAAAACAAAGAACATTTGAAAATATGATCTCATTGATAAAACATGAAAACAATTATAGAAAAAAATGTTTTTTACTGTTCAGAGTAGAATTTTGTATCAAAATTAATGAAATAAAGGTTGTATGAATATGAAATCTAGGATATATTTCTTGTCATGTCTGTACAATAACAAATGGCTGAAATGAAGGCTATTTTAAAAGAAAAAAGCATTCTCAAGCTTTTCTATTTGGTTCCATCCCTATCTTGTGTTAATGAAAATATGAATGTATGAAAAGTCTAAAATGGCCTAGAACAGTCTTAGAACAAGTCACAATTTTCAGTGATGTCCTTGTAGTATAATGAGAATTTAACTATTGCTAAGTTAAAAATAATCAACAGAATAAACCCTATAGGTTTTAAAGATCATAAATTGTTATTCAAAAGGACAAGGTGCAATTATTGGCAAATATCCCTTTGGTCAAAATGAATCATTCGTAGGTGTAACATGAAGAATAAAATGTCATATAATACTTTGGAAAATATTAAAGTGCTCGGACACACATAAGCTGAGATAGGGATCATTTTGTTCAGTAAGGCTGTATTGACTTACATGGGGCTGTGTACCATTGACTTAACATGAGGATATCAGCAGATCCCAATAGAGGCTATTGGTTTCCATTGATTATCACAGAAATACCAAAAATACACTATGACCTGAATCGATTGCAAACTTAATAATTTCACAATACGACACAAATGGTTGATCTCATCAAATGTGCAAATATGAAGTTTGCAATCGATTCAGGTCATACTTAAAATTAAAAGATTGTACATTTTTTCATCATTTTTTTCCCTACAAAATGGCTATAGAAAAATGCTCCAAAAACAACTTTTACACTTATCAAATATCATACAAGTTTGTAAAACCAAAGATTATACTATTATATTTCATTATGTAGTAACATATTTGGATAAGATGCAGGGATGCGTAGGATGTAAATGGATTTTGACAGACACAAAAATACTTCCTGGTTTGGAATCTATGCCTCTACACTTCATGATTGAATTATGACCCTAATAAGTGGCCTATACATCAATACAGTGCTGAATATAGGTCAACAAGATACTAGTGTGCATATAAATGTAATAATTGAAGCAGAATCCTCATTTTGAAAAATCAGATGAATTATTTTTTCCCCATGGGGAGAACCCAATGGAGGGTGTATAAGGTCCTTTTTATGTTTGATGCATAAACAAAGTACTGTTAATATCTATCCTGAGCTGTTCAACATATAGGCAGTCAGTACTTGTACATAAATAAATACTGTACATTATACAGTAAGTCTTATAAGTGGTGTCCCCTAATCATTTAATTTGCCCATTGCCTAATTTCTGCGATGTTCGAAAAAATTAAATGTCGGAAATATTGTCTTCATGATCTTATCCAATGGGAAGTTTCTTGTCATTAGGAAAATTAAAATTAGGAAATGATAAAATTTGACCATTCGGCAAATTAACCACTTGGAATAAATACTAATAAATACTGTACATGTACCCCATATAAAATGATGACATAATGCTTGCTTATCCTACTCTCAAACTGCTTTGTTATAAGTATTTTCTTAATTCTATGAGAAATATGTATGGTATATGCAACATTAGTTCAACATCATTAAACTCAATAACGACGTTCTTTAATACGTATTAGGAATTTTCTTGGGGCCGTTCAAAGACATGTCAGATAAGAAACGAGGCCCAGGCTAGGTCTAATGTCGTTGGACTAAATATACATGTACCTTTATATATTTTTTATTTCACAGAAATGCTTTTTTTCTATCTGAATCGTATATCACCATGAGTGTGAAATTTCATCCAATATACTTTACAGTATATGATACATTAAGTTGATGCTGAGATTTTATAAGGTGAATTAATCTTCTTTACTGACATTGTAGCTTCATGTGGAAGATGAAGTGGATATTCATTGCGCTAATGGGATTCCTCCCCCTGAGCCTGGCTCAAGATGTACCCCCAAAAGAACCGGAGATAGAAGTGACGCCAGCAACGTAAGTGCAACTATTTTTTCCATTTTTGTCAATTATGGTTACGCTTGTAGGCATCAGCTTCAGGTCCAATATCGCCTCACCTCGCCTAATCTGGAGAGGGAGAGGGGGTATTGGGGCAAAGCTCCCATCCTGAGATGCCCAAGGGATCAAATGGCACTCCAGTATTTTGCAAAAAAATAGTATTTATGTATTTCTAATGCATAAATTTTGGCATGCCTAATTAATTAATTTATTACAAAAATGACGTGTTTCTGAAATCAAAAAATAAATTATTGAAAGGGGCCCACTACCCTAAAGATATCCAGATTCTGCCAAAAGAGCCTATGCTATTGTTTGAATAAAATATGAATGGGCAAGAAATGGATGACACGTTTGGTAGCACAGACTTCTATTTTAATATCCCAGATGCGAGTAGAAATAATCTTGATTTACGTCATTAAAAATTCACAATTCAGTCAAACTGATGTCATATTTGGAATCTACATGTAAAATTACATTTAGAAATGTGGTTTTGAAAAGAGTTTATCAACTTAGAAAATTTAATTTTCTGTGAAAATGTGACTTCTAGGTCGGGGAGATTCCCCATAGAGCCCATGTTGTAAAACTACAAAAAGTGAAATATCTTTTCTTGTGTTGGGCAGATAATATTTTCCTTTACTGGACATATTTTAATTGGTATAACTACTAGATACATAAAAGTAATATGAAAAGTGAACCATTAAAACTGATACATATTCAAGTTTAAGGGAATTTTGTAATACCCTGCCATGTTAATTCCCCCGAATCAGCCACCTGGTGGCGAAACTGGTAACTACCTACTCGCATCTGAGTAATTAGAGGGAGTGTTTTGTATGGTAGAGAATAAGACAGTCATGTATGTGCAGTACACTTGCATATTAAAGGCATGTTTAAGATTAAACAGTGCAACTCGACAGGATATTCTCAAATCGGTGCATTATACACTGACGATACGTCTGTGTAACTAATTTATTCTTTTCTATTTTTTTCTCACATGGTGCAAATGGGGTTTCAGGTGGAAGTTTGCTTACTTTCACAATCTCAGGCACATACAGCACCTACTCAGTTTAATTCAATGCTTTATAAAATCATATTTGAAGGTTAAGTTCATTTTACTTCAGCATGCATCTCAAATGATCTCTCATTAAGTATTTCTTATATTTGTATTCACATTTAAATCAAGTGATGTTTATTCTGAAAAAGTAATTTATTAAAAATTATTAAAAAAATTTCTCAGTTTTATTAAGGTATCTGGTATCATTTGACATAATTCATTGATATATGGTACTCCAGGGCGTTCAATAAGTAAGGGTTACTTTGCTTTGAAACATTTATTTATATTGGATGTCAATTTTGAATGCTGTTTAAACACATATGAGATTTTTAGACACAAATGTTATTTTAAGATGATCTACTTGATGCAGAAAAGTTTGTCCCATTAACAGTTACTTAAAGTAAATTTTTAAAGTGGAAAAATGTGAACAAGCAAACAAACAAACAAACAATCAAACAAACAAATAAAATTGTGCTTTGTTATTATACCCACTACCAACAGTTATTTGAAAAAATCCTACCTCTTAAAAGTATTAATTTTCGAACTTTTCAATATGTTGTAATGATGTGTGACTTATTAGTTCAAATAAGAAAAAGTCATGTGATCTTTAGAATACAAGGTACAAGGTAAATTGTCTCATTGACCATTCAAAGATAACATAATAAAGATAATTGTCTCATTGACCATTCAAAGATAACATAATAAAGATAATTGTCTCATTGACCATTCAAAGATAACATAAAGATAATTGTCTCATTGACCATTCAAAGATAACATAAAGATAATTGTCTCATTGACCATTCAAAGATAGCATAAAGATAATTGTCTCATTGACCATTCAAAGATAACATAAAGATAATTGTCTCATTGACCATTCAAAGATAACATAAAGATAATTGTCTCATTGACCATTCAAAGATAACATAAAGATAATTGTCTCATTGACCATTCAAAGATAGCATAAAGATAATTGTCTCATTGACCATTCAAAGATAACATAAAGATAATTGTCTCATTGACCATTCAAAGATAACATAAAGATAATTGTCTCATTGACCATTCAAAGATAACATAAAGATAATTGTCTCATAATATAACATTTTCCTGATTTAATCATTTTTTAAAAGTCATTTTTTATAAAGAGGACTTTCTTGAATATCACTACAGGGTGTATGCTAATTTTTAAAGTGGCAGCAAGGCATAGAATAAAATATTGAAAGCAATAATATCCATAAACATGCCAATGTCATTTTGCTCCTTATGATCTCTTAAATAAAAGAAATAATTTAAGATTCATAGCTATATTAATTCAACAACATTAAAAAAGAAAATCCCAGAATAAATCAACTAACATACTACAGTAAAACCTCTCAGATAGAATACTGCTCTTGTACCTTGGTCACATTTGCTCGGATTTATCGGCTGGCACCTTGCCGATTGAGAATTTTGTTCAAAATTGTACAGGTTTAACTGTATCTTCTTTATATACCTAATGGCAGAAACAATCATGTACATCATGCCTAGGATAAATTTGACATGAAACATGTCTCTTATTACTTGTATTATAGCTATGTTATAGATAGATAATCACATTTGATTCTTGAGTCGTGCCTGGTTTGTAACCAAGTATTATCGCAATATGTAAATCGGGAGGGAATAAAAGTCATAGCCATTTAGATTTGAGCTTTTAGTTTAGATGGTGACCTGTTGCAATCGGTTATTTTTCCACCTGTCTGTTCATCCGTTTGTCTGTCTGTGCATATTTCCTTTCTGGCTTACCTATGATGTTAGTCAGGGGTATTTTCTTTTTATAGTTTATCAATGCAGAGACGCATGTGTAGTATTTATACTTTTTTCAAACATATCACCATCTAAGCCAAGTACCTATATACTACCCTTCTTACTCTTTTTTCATTGAAATGAAAAACATGATACTGTTATATGATATTATTTTTAATGTTCTAATCTTAGATGGAATAGCAATAAGAATTGATGCAATATGAGTAATGCCTTAGAACCATATCATTTGGTAATCATATCACATTTTGTACAATCATTTTTATGTTTTTCCTTTAGATATATGGTTACATCTCCAAAAGTGTTGAGACGCGGCACAGATCTTGAGATTGGAGTAACCATTCTCGCTGAAAGTGGACCAGTGCAAGTTACAGCAACACTTACAAAAGGAAAGGTGACATATACGTCAGGCTCTGCAACCATTGGTAAGAAAACTGATGAATATTATAAAAGATTTTGCATAAAAGTAGGATTTGCATTCATAGGAAGTATAAAATATTGTACATTAATACAAAATTAATCAATGAACATTATTAAACTTCAAATAGATAACCATCAAATTATCAAAAATTAATTAAATATAATTTGTTAACATTGTTGACAAGTTCATTTGCATTTAAATGTTCATTTGTATATCTCTAGAATACTCATGATCTGAATTAAACCAAACCTCTATGAACACAATTTGTTAAATTTTTGAATGGCTCCATTGATCTCCCCAGCATTAAAGCAAGTGGGCACAGCACCCACCTGAGATTTTAAAAACAGGCATGCACCCACCTGAAAATCCATTTGCACACACTTGAACATGAGAAAAATCATGGAGAATTGGCATATTTTGACCAATTTTGGTCTGATTTATCAAAATGAGAATTTTGCACCCACTTGAAAAAATATCCTGAGGAGAACACTTGGCTCTGCATCTGATTTATGTCAACATTTCAGCTTGTGACAAGACATACACCCACCAGGGTGTCATTATCACTGATATGTATATATGTTTATATGATTTTAATAAATAAATAAAACAATATATTCATGGCCAATTCAAAATTGAATAAACTACAGCTACTTATGATTTATCTGTTGCATAAACAAGAAATATGTAACACACTCTTATATCATTTGAATTTACTTTCAGAGAACTCTGCTGTTGTTTCAATACCTGTAAGTAATTTAAATCATCATTCTATTAATACTTGTTTGGAGATTATCAGTATCAAAATTGGAATAATTGCATTGTCTGCCTTGCCATAATTCTAATTTTGATTTTTGTTAAATTTTTACAACCTTTTTATTCCATGAAGTATGTAAAGCATAGTTTATATTCATTTTTTTAGCAAGGAGATTTTACCCAGCAGGGATAATATTATCACATATATATTGAACTTACGAACACCCATAAGCCCATAACCAGGGTCTAAACTGGGCCTAAGGGAGGGGGAGGGATTGCCCCTCATGTCGAAAATTCTTTCAAATTTGTGCAGTTTTTCACCATTCTGAGCATTTTTCATTTGGTTTTGCGCCTTAATTGTAAAACTTGAACCCCCTTGGAATATTTAGGAAAAGTGAACCCCCTTGGCAAAAGCTGGCTATCATTTATGATTTTACTTTCTAGGTTCCTACCAGTGCTGATGAAGGAGCCTATACTTTGACAGTAACTGGTTCAGGAGGTTTAACCTTTACTGACTCCGCAACCTTGACCCTTGACCCCCATAGTGTCTCAGTTTTCATACAAACTGACAAGGCCATCTATAAACCTGAGCAGCTTGGTGAGTTCTGTGTTCTTTATTATTTTATTTCTAAGTTTTTATTAGCTCGCAATTATCACATTATTTGCAAAATAAGTTCAATCAACAGAATGGTTTATAATTAGAGCCTTACCAAAGGCTAATATGAAATGAAAAAAATCAACAAAATAATGTAACTTTAATTTCTAAGTTAACTACATACATCCATTAGTGTGACAAAAAAATCCATTTCACTTAATAATAAAGAACAAAATAACTTATCTGTCACGTTTTTTTTTCTGTATACCCTGATTCTAACAGTGGTCTATAGATCTGTCACTATCATCATGTCTTATTACTATAGTTACAATTTATATGATGTTTCAGGTATATGTTATAAATGAATGATCGCATTTCAGACAGCTACTTTTATAACACATCAGATTTTAGACTTGAGTGAAAGTGTATATGATATCACCATATAAAATGGCATACTATCACATGGCTGTGTTCTTACTAACAGTTGTTTTAACAATTATTTAGAAACAAAATGCAACCCACCTAATATTGAGAAATTTCGATTTTGATTTTTCAGTCCAGTTTCGAGTTATGCCTGTAAAGCCAGACCTTACTCCCCTTGGACTACCTGTGGATATACACATCACGGTAACATTTATTTTAAACACAGATACCATATTCTCTGTAAGTAGCGCCCGGGGCATTTAGAAAATTCAAACTATCTCCTTTAAATTTAGACCATTCTAATGTATGGCAAAGAATGTCTAGAAATTCCTTGTTTGCAACATCAGAATTAAGCAACAGCATATTTTACATACAATAATGAAATATGGAATATGGATTTGTTATTGGGTTGGATAATAAGGATTATAAGGATCAAATTACGATCAGAGTTAATGATTGAGAAGCAATGACAGAAATATCTAAAGTTATTTTAACAGAATTACTAATTAATATTTAAAGCGACTGATTAAAATATTCAACATTTTAATTTTCTCTCAAATTATCATCTGTTCACAAATGAATTTTCACCATGATGCAGAGTAATTTCAAATATTTTAAACTTGATGACAAATTTTTATGTATTGGAGCTAATTTAATGAGATTTCACATTTTCAATATTTTCTTATATAAATCATGAAGAATGAAATGTTTTACTTAAGGGTTTTGCATTCATTTTTAGGATAAGAATGATAACAAAATAAAACAATGGTTGAATCAGACATCAGATACAGGGATCATCTCAAAATCCCTACAACTTTCGGACCAACCTCCATTGGGAGACTGGAAGATAACAGTGAAGGTTTTGGTATGTACCCTAATATTCAGTTCATGAGATGAGGGGGAATTCAGCCTAGTTTACTAGTTTTTTGGTTTGTATCCATGAAAACGTAAGAGTCAGTATGGAATATGATTTGAATAATATTGACAATATTATATAAGCAAATATTAGGTATAAGTATGATATTAAAGTTCTGAATTCTGTTTATCATTGTATTTAAAAATGTTAAAATTATGAAAATGTTTGAATTTAGAATTTTTTGAATGATCAAATGTTGTCTGTCTTGTTTGGTTCCCATGCTATCAAGTATATGTACAGTGTGTTTATTCACTGTAATTATAGTGTAATAATTATTGACTTTGATGTTTACCTTTTAGGATGAGAAAACAGAGAAGGTGTTCACAGTGGAGGAATTTGGTAAATATGCATCCATCTACTGTATATAGGGAGGTTAAGTTAGCATTGTTTTGAAAAACATGAACATATAAAATATACTTTTCCCCTTTGTGGTCTTTACCACCCTAATAATGTCTGGAGATTGTATGTACTTTATGATTGAAAAGGGAAATATTGACTCTGCCTGGGGTCATGATATTACAAGTTCAGATTTTTTTCAAATAAATGTTGTATAATAACGATCTCTCTACATGTATTATCATAAGTGTGTTCTAATTCAGAAATTTGAAAATAGATGGAATATTGCATCTCTGTCACATGGTTAATAATCAGTTTAGTACATGTTCTTCAAAAGCAGTGGTGTTACATGTATATCTTTGATTTTTTTTCCATTTTAGTGTTACCCAAGTTTGAGGTGAAAATCAATCCCAGCAAACCATATGTATTAAATGGTGGAAATGAGGATGACACAGCCATTTCAGGAAACATTGAAGCATTGTAAGTGTAAAAAAGTTAATTTATAAATGTACTAAAATTTTGGATTGTATCGTCCCAAAAACTTCACTTTCTTCAAAGATTCAATGTACACTAGCAAAATGTCATGAACTTTCAGCCCTTTCCCAAATGTAATAGATAACTTAAGTCAAAATTCATTAAACATTGATATTGTCCCTTAAGAACTAACCATATGAGGTCTTAATCGATGTTATCTAATTTTGAATTTGTTGCACTTTTCCAAATTAGCATTTCAAGCATCATGGACACATATAAAATTGACAGTCTAAAAAAACATTGCATCAATATTATTATGAGGACATTATGGATCATGTTGAGTTCCTATATTGATATGATCAAAAAGGACACATTGATTCGAAAATCATGGATGTTCAGATTGCAATTTTGTCACTCTTTAAACCTCTGATTCTAGCATAGAAAGCACAGAGAAAGAAATGGAAAACATAAATACATAAATGTACACATAAATAATCAGAAAAACAGATGTCTAATTAACTGATGTACACATAATGTCTTTATATTTAAAGGCAGAATCAGATCTATGGGGGTGACAAAATAACAAGCAACTTGTACAATTGACCTACCATTATATTCCTTACAATATCAAATACAATATCTTCCAAGAGATTCGCAATATGTTATAAATTGGTGAAGTTATTAATGATTCAAAGTGCAAAAATGGCTGAAATTCTCCCAAATAATAAGAATGGTAACCATTCTTATAGAAAAATATTACATTATTGTAAAAAACGTTAGTTTTCCTTGAATAAAGTATGCACTTTTGTAACTTTTAGAAAATAGACATGACAAGTAATGACATGAGCCAAAAATATTCTAAAATTGAGACAATTTTTTGTTTAGCCTGCTCGCTATATCTGATTCCCTCTTTTAGGTATACCTATGGAAAGAATGTGAAAGGCAAAGTATCTCTGCAGGTGTACTTAAAAAATAACAGGAATAAAGTGACAAAAACCTATAAGGTAAAATACCTTAATTTACTTTATGTTCATACCATGTTTTATAGTCATATAATACTGATTGTGTTGTAGGCTTAGTCATGTCGGCATATCACTGGAATTTGATATCACCATGGGCTTTCTAGTTGAAAGCCCATGATATCACAAATTGTAGATAACTCAACCAATTCCACATCCTAGTGCTATGCATGAGAAAATTCTGCGCATAAGTTCTGCATGAAAAAGTCAAATTCTGCACCATATTCGGCATGAAATCCTGAATTCCACGATAAATTTTGAAAGCAACATTTCATTTGAACTATCACAAAATTGTGGAGAATTCAAATTTCGTGACATATTAGATGTAATCTTTAAGTGCTAAAGGCAGAAGTTTGAGCATTCTAAACATATTTCACATTTAACCTTACAACACCGGCTTCTGATGACCAATGACTGTCTAAGGTGTCAAGGTGAGTGACAAGTATGAGATGTCAGGTGGTTGATTTGAAAAATCAAATATTTTGCGAAATTCCGTGCAATTTTTTTTTATGGAAATTCTATTATTGTTTTATTGAAATTACATAATATATACTATAACATGTCTATTGTATAAGGAGGAATGCCCTCCTTATATATTTCTTTTATTGACAAACGTGTCAAAGCATGACACATTACTCTATGTACAAAATAAGAAACTAATCTAACTAAAAACTAACTATAAACTATGAGAATACATGGATAAAATTTACTCTGAAATAAAACTACACATAGGAAGGACTCCAATTGTCAATTGTAAGTTCTTGGTTAAAGTCTAGATGCACATATTTATATTTCATTTTTTATTTAGATTGACGGTAAAGTGGCGTTTTCTGTTCCAATTGCTGATCTGAAGAGAGTATCTAGAGAGAATACTATTCACTATTTTGACATTGTATGCATAGCAGAGGTTACAGAAGATTTGACAAACATTAAGCTGTCTTCAGAAGAATTGACAATACCAATACATCAATATGGGATCAAGCTAAAATTTATGGAAGCATCTGCTGATAATCTTAGACCTGGATTGTCCTATACAGCATATGTAAGTGCAGTATAACATATAAAGGTGGAACACCTTGATAAGTGTTCTGCTAACCACCGACTTAATGTAAATTTAACCTCTGTAAGTTGAGCACCTAGATAAGTGTTCTGCTAACCATCAACTTAATGTAAATTTAACCTCTGTAAGTTGAACACCTTGATAAGTGTTCTGCTAACCACCAACTTAATGTAAATTTAACCTCTGTAAGTTGAACACCTTGATAAGTGTTCTGCTAACCACCGACTTAATGTAAATTTAACCTCTGTAAGTTGAGCACCTAGATAAGTGTTCTGCTAACCATCAACTTAATGTAAATTTAACCTCTGTAAGTTGAACACCTTGATAAGTGTTCTGCTAACCACAGACTTAATGATAATTTAACCTCTGTAAGTTGAACAGCTCCCAAGTGGAACGTTCAGTTACACAGGTCTTGCTGTGTACAAGGTATTTAAATTTATATTATCAAATTACCATTGTGAATAGTATCATGACATTGAAAACGTCTACTACAACCCAGAAAACCATACAAATAAAAACCAAAAACTCCACCAAGTGGAATATTTTTTTAAAATAGTGTATATTTCCTCCATGCTTTTAATGTTATATCTAAATATACTAAAATATCAGTAGAATAGACAAACCATTACTGCCATCTTTCAACTGTTTTGATAACTTTATCGATCAGAGATTTGAATATTGAAATAACAGTATCTTAGTGCCTTATGATATAAACTATAAATTACATGTACTTATATACACCCAGTAAATGTAAAAGAAAATTTCAGTACCTCCCTCTGTACAACTCCTATGGAAGTCAAACATCTATATAAGTTCAGAAATTCAAATTGTTTTCAAGTATGAGAACAATAGTCATCATAATTACATCAAATATCCTACAATACCATTCAGTCAGCCAGATATACTCAAAGCACTTTACTTGGTGTAATTTAAAGCATTAACCAGGTGAACATCCTCACATCATTTTTGTTAGGTGAAAGCATCCAAGCCTGATGGGTCACCCCTTGATGCAGGTCATGGAAAGAGCATCAAATTTTCTGCAACAACAAATTACGAAAATGATGGGTATGGGTAGCAGCTTTTTACATTACTATGAAGAAACAAGCCGAAAAACACACTGCACCTCTCGGGATTTACTTGTGTTCTCTTGTCACAAAGCTAATGACAAATATTTATTCAATTTATTGGATATCATAAATAACAGTCAACCTTTTGATCATTTTGAATTCTGATATTTGAAGGACATTATTGGAGAATCAACAAAATATTGTAAAATAAATCAGAGGGGGGCTTCAAATAATTACAAAGGCCAATTTGACCCTATGAAAAACTTGGGCACTCACCAAAAAGTTGATACTAAATTTTTCATTTGCTCTATTTATAGTACTGGTAAATATAAAGAATCCACGACTGTTGACAGCACACATGTCATTCCTGATGCTGGTGTTGTAGTCGTGCCCACTACAGATATCGCCATGGATATTAGCTCAATGCGTTTGGAGGTATGTACACTCATCCAAGGTATAGCTCATAGGAATGGCAGACTAGGCTAAATCATCCTCCGATCACAGGGCTTCAAAATCCAGAATATATTCTTTCTTTTTACCCCCTGTGATAAGCAGTTACCATTTCCCCGATTAGGAACTCGCAATCTGATTGGCTGTCGCAACACTGTGACAGAAATTGTGTATAAGTCATTGCGCATAATTAGATCACATGATTCAGTTAAATCGGGCACTTCCAAATTAGTTATAGCAGGGGGGAAGAAGGAGGTACGGATTCTGGACACCTGCTTAGGAGGATGAGGCCAAATACTCCACATACAAATGAAGTGATATTCAAATTAGCATTGTCACAGATTTGAGAATAAAGTTGATTTAACATCATATTGTGTAAATAATTTTAAGTTAATAAATTTTTGCTTAGGCAACACTGGTGTCAAACCGCAACATCCGAGCAGATTCGAAAACTGTTTCGAAATTTTCGACAAAGACAAATGCAGGGGTCCAGATCAGCTTATTGACGGCACTGGAAAATATGAAGGTATGTTACTTGTAAATGGTGTTTTATATTTTTTATGATGAAACCACCCTACTGGGTACTAGAAACACTAATATATAAGGGGAATTCATGTGAACTCAACTAATGCCTCCCACCAGTCCATCCCAGATTTTCTGATTTTCTAAATATGTAGGCTCAAGTGCCAACTTGAAAACACCAAAAATGTATACACAACACAGCAAGAAAAAGAAAACATCTGAGAGAACACCGGTCTTAAGGATATTAAACCCTAATTATCCAAAATCACAATCCAACAAATTGAGAAAAATTCAGACATTTTTAGAAAGTAATTATAAAATGATTTTGCTTCAAATATGATGAAAAATTACAGATTCAAATTTGCCATATACATCATGTACCCCTGTCTTTAATAAACAATTACATGTACATCTCAAAAAGTATTGTGAATTAACAGCTGAAATTTTATATGTCTTTCTAAAATTGCATTGGGAATATCAGAAAAATCAGAGATGAACTGGTGAGGAAGTTTTGACATGGTTCCCCCAAGTACAGTTTGAGAGAGACTTTGAGGCACATTCACCAATACAGGTTTTTGTAAAACACCGCCATATCCCATAATTGTTCTTTTACGCTCACATATGATTTCTCATTATTTTTAATACAGATTTACATGAATTGAATGCACCAGTTGAAAAAAGGTTTATGTTGAACAATAAACACATTCTTTCATAGAATTATTAATATAAAGATGCCACTAAGGAATTAGAATATAAAATATCGACATACAATTAAAGCTAGTATTTACATTGTAGTGATTAGAATTTTACATTGCATTGTAGTGAGTTCTCATATGGGATACTAAAAGGGAATGGAATTTTTTGTTTTTGAAAGATGCCACTAGTTGTGACTTTTAAGGGAATTGTGCTCTATTTTCTGATTTGATCCATAGCTCTCTACTTCTTACCAGATATGATTTATATCTTGCCACTTACACGATATGATATATATCTTGCTAGATTTGATTTATATCTTGCCTTGGCACTTTTTGCAAGATATGTTATATATCTTGTTAGATATAATTTATATCTTGCCACTTCTTGCAAGATAGATTTATGTCTTGCTACTATTTACAAGATATGATATATATCTTGCTAGATATAATTTATATATTGCCACTTCTTGCAAGATATGATTTACATCTTGCCACTACTTACAAGATATGATATATATCTTGCTAGATATAATTTATATCTTGCCACTTTTGCAAGATATGATTTACATCTTGCTACTATTTACAAGATATGATACATATCTTGCTAGATGTGATTTATATCTTGCCATTTCTTGCAAAATATAATTTCCATCCTACCAATTTTTTTTTTACTTTATTTTTATATTTTTTAAAATAATATGAAGCTCTTACCATAATCTTGGTCCATCAACTGGGTAAATGGAAAATATTCTAGTTAATACTTTCCCTGGAGGTAGCACTTAAATTTTAACAGCCACAAGTGCTACTCAGGTGAATAATGGGAACACTGTGTGTGGGTTGTCCACACCTGCAGCCACTAATTTGCTCTTAATTTTGGACAGATTTTCTTATTATTTTTTATATACTATACTAATAGCGTTCATGGCTATTCAATGGATACTCAGGGTCACACAATACAAAACTGCAGAGGGAGCTCAATATGTAAGCTCCTGTCAACCGAAACCACAGATTTGCTCTTAATTTTAGACCGATTTACTTATTTTTATATATATATATATATGTTAATAGCATTCAGGACTATCCAATGGATATTCAGGATCGCACAATACAAAACTGCAGAGGAAGCTTAATGTGTAAGTTCTCACCACCTCAAACCACAGACGCACAAATTTAAACCTGACTTTTACAGGTTAAATTTAATAATGCCATGCATTACATCAGTTGATGAAAATCGGATAAGAACATACTATTGATTCCATGAATATTTGTAGTGTCATTTCACAAACTTCTTAAGGTCAATTGATATATTAAGACAACAACATGTATGTTTTTCAAATAATTTATTTCACATAAAGCACTTAAAATAAGCTTCTTATTCATTTTCTTATACAGAAGAGCCTGTCCAGTAATGCCATTATCTTTTTCAAACGATTTAATGTCACATTTAGAACTTTAAATTTTATTTTTATTTATTATTTATATTCAACTCCTATTTTAGAACCGGTCTCACAAGGCACCTTGGGGTGCACCATACAAATTTAAAATACAGTTCATCCAAACCAAAAAGCAATATTCATTTTAGTTAAATAATTAAACTAATCAATTAGTTTTGACTTTGCCATCAAAGCAAATTAATTTACACCATTTGTTATCTTTCTTTCTTTCTTTCTCTTTCTTTCTTTCCTTGTTAGATGAATTTTTTTATTTTACGTACTTGTGTTTGTATATTTCATATACAACATTTATCTATATATTATAATAATTTATTCATTTAACTTCTACTGTATTTACAAACCAATAAAATAACCATGGCAGACCAACTCAACTGGAAATATTACCCTATATAAATACTTTTTCTCATAGCTTTTGAGACCTACATAACATATTATTTAGTCTCCATAAGATTTTCTAATCACTTTCTTCAGATGGTTGTTAGGTTAAAAGCTGTATGTGTCACTTTTCTATACCTAACCCCTAGAAATGCAAAAGATACTCTGTTGGTCTAATTGTATTGTTTAGTTTGAAAGTACCGTATTAACATCTAACAGTCTTCCAATAAACAACAATTAATAAGGAACAGACAAATAAAATCAAATAACATAATCATTACTGTTTAGCCAAATGGGTTGCTCATGAAACCAAATGCAAGGTATAGTTGAGTGATCTGTATATATTACATTTGATATAGCAGTAATTTTGAAATTATCAATTTCTTTGCCATATGATTAGCTGCATGTAGGTGAATATTCATTGACATTTCATAATGATTTAGGACAGTAATCTCAAAGGAAACATCACACTACAATATAATTTGGAAAAATAAAACTATAAACTGTGGGATTAAGTGAATTCTTGAACACACATCAATTTGTTTTTAATGCACAAAATTTACTTCATACATACACATTTTATCTGTACAATATATATTATTTTTTCTTTAATTTTTTTTCTTTAATTTCAACAACATTTTGTTAGGATATATAACCACAGACTGTAAGACAATAAAAATGGATAAATTATATACAGTATTTTCATGAATATCAAATTAATTACACAGTTTTAAACAGAAAGACATAAGAACAACGGCAACGCCAAAGCGTAGCGAATCACATCAAACAGAAATGGCTGGCATTTTTACAAACGAAATATATAGCAAATATCATAAAATAACACACATAAGAAAGGCCACCATTTTCAAAATGGTTGCTCACTAGCCAAGTTGTCATCAGAAGAAGTAATATGCTTTTTTATAGTATTCACATATCAAATATGAACGAGTTATAGTAAAATATGTTAAAACCGTAATTGTCATTAGACAGTGTGCCATGCTTATAGTATTCACAGACCAAATATGAGCAAAATCGCTCCACTACTTTTTGAGTTATTGTAAAATATGTTAAAATGGCGGCCATTTTCGAAAATGGCGGCCATTTTTCAAAATGGCCACCTCCTACCAAAAGTGTCATTAGACAGTGAGCCATGCTTATAGTATCCACATACCAAATATGAACAAAATCGCTCCACTACTTCTTGAGTTATAGCAAAAATCGTAAAATAACGAGTAAAGGCCGCCATTTTTCAAGATGGCTGCCATGTGTTTCTTTAAAATCTACATTTCTAGCTTTATCAATGTCCTATATAATTTTTTTACATTTAAAACATATTGCTATTACAGTTTTACATAATGTACCTAAATTACTGTAAGATCGGCACTAAAATGGCCGCCATTTTTAAATGAGCGGCCATTTTGAAATTCGACTTTCGAGCAGAACTTCTACCCCCATAGGGTATATGTGTACAAAATATGAACAAAATCGGGCCAACGGTATTTGACTTATTGCCCGGACGGACGGACGTACGTACGTACGGACGGACGGATGTATGGACGGACGGACGTACGAACGGACGGACGTACGGACGGACGGACGGATGTACGTACGGACGGACGGATGTACGTACGGACGGACGGACGGAGGCGTTCCCTATATCCCTCCGAACTTCGTTCGATGGGATAATAACATGAAATGAGATTGCTAAAACAGGATCTAGTAAAAAGTTATGAAAGTCCTGGATAATCTACAGATATGTACAGTAAGAACTAATCTTGACAAAATAATTTATTCATTGATTTCTCTTGTTGATAATGTTTAATTAAAACAAGGGATGCTTTATAGTGAGATAGTTATAGTTTTATAAGCTTTGAGCTGTTTTCTAAATAAAACCCAACTTCTTAGCTTACAGTACAATGTGTCTTAACAATTCAAACTTCCCCTGATGGTCTTTCGTTGAGAAAACGCATCCAAAACACAAAAACTCATGTTATTGATACCATAGTTGCAAAGCCAGGAAAATGGCTCAGATTTAATAGCAACGTCTAGATCTAAAACTAAGCACATTCCTTATCCCTGGCTTTATATATCTACTTTCTGTACCATTTTTATCTCTGCATGCTAATGACCTGAAAGGGTGAAATCATTCCTAGATATAAGCAAGTCAATACAATGTAGATGTTAATACTATAACTTAGTCCATAAAATGCTTCCTATTCCCTGATATGTTTCAGTAAAATCATTTTCCCCTAATTTTGATATTCACATATTTAGAACCAATCGTCAATTAGTAAGTTATGTGTACTTCATGTAAAGACTCAGGTTTAAACTTGTGTGTCTGTGGTTTGAGGTGTCGAGAACCTATACATAGAGCTCCCTCTACTATGTATCGCACGGTAGGTTTCCTGACACTGTGATGTGAACAACTCCCTCATTGTTTTACGGAATGGTATATTTATAATATAATAAAGTATGAAGTTAATTGTGAAATTCACGCTTTGAAGAAAGTTTGTGACAGCTTCCGCGATCTGGAACTCCATCTTTCTGTCACCATTTCTTGTTTTCAATATCTCATCCACAAATTTTAAGATCTCTGCTGGTGTGACTAGGATCAGAAACACGGCTACTATCGCGATGAATGTCGGTGTTAGCTTACATCCAGCATTCGAACAACTTTGATTTGCACTCGTACTTTCACTCAGCATTCGTCGCATTCTGCTCGACTGATGTAGCGCGCGTATTAGACAGATGTTGCTGATTAAAAGTAGGATAAATGGAATGATTCCACCTAAAAAGCTCCACAATAGGAGGTATGCAGTATACCCATCCAATTTCACGATATCGCCAGGCCATGGTGAGTATACCTTCAAACCTCCTGAGCAAGAAAATTCTCGAATTTTCATTGTCCAAAAGCGTGGTAGTGTGAATAAAACGCAACTTACTGTAACAACTGAGACAGAGATTTTGACTCCCTGTAGACTAGATACCCCTCTAGCATAAAGTGGGTAGCATACTGCGATACATCTTGCAAGTGCCATCGTTACTGTCAACCATGTGCTCATCAAGATGAAAGTATTAACAATGCCAGTATGGAATACTTTGTAGTATAACATGAAATGTTTTGTTTCGGATAAGACTGGCTGTCCAGCCTGGGAATTCATGAATCCCAAAGGGAATGCAGAAATGCAAAACATCATATCAGAAACTGCCAAAGCGATTAGTCCAAAATGGGCAGATTTTTCAAGTTCATCTAAATTACTTTTCATTCTTTTCCTTGTTAGTATGATTAGATTCAATATGTTTCCCAAGAATCCAAAAACAAGAACAATGGGTAGCATATAGCCAATCACCCGATTTACAATTTGATATGTTTCTTTTGAATTTCCTGACCTAATTAGAGATGCAGTTAAAACTTCCGTAATACTGTCAGTTGTTGTGGTAGCAAACGTGCTGTTATAACTCCTCATTGTTGTGAAGGAAGTATTGCTCAATGTTTCTACACCACCAAGGGATAATTCCCCATATACTTTGAAACATGCATGCATCTGCAATGTCATCATGATCCGTTCTGTTCTGTTCATCTCTTGGAATGTTTAAGTTTCTGTTCTCAACACCTCTTATACTCCTGTCCTTAATGTCTCAATGTTTTATCATGTACTGGTATATTAAAACTGTAAGGTGTAGTTCTTTTATAGTCCTTGACATGTCCATACTTATGTTTTTCATCTGTCATGTTCAATTTTTTTTACTGTTTGTATGGGTTATATTTGCATTTATGTGATTGTTCTATTTTCCAGTCTGCTCTAACTGTTGATGTCCTTATTTTGTTACATGCCAGCTTGTCACTAGCCAGCAACTGTCATTGTGACTTTAATTTAGATATGTCTCTTCAGTTTTAATCAGTCGGATAGCCCGTATATTCTGCAAGTATAAAAAGCATACAATTTGGATTATATTTGCATGTTCAATGGCTATTTATTCAAATAGAGCCTTATAGTTATACCTGTATTAGTTTGCAATAAATAAATGCTTTCAGTAAATGAATTTATGTTCAATACTTGTTTATGAATGACAACTACTATTGCATGTAAGTTTTGATGCTTCTAGCCTTTTGCCACTTTTCTGATTGCACATGGCTTTTATACATTTACTCTTTTTGAATATATATGAATGCTCTTATTGAGATCAAATTTATATTCAGAATATATTCATAAAAATTGTTGTTGACTTTGTTAATGGATGGACAAGTATGTACAAAATGATGCACACAAATTGTTGAAATAATTCCTTGCATCCACAATACCTTTTGGTGTTTTTCATTCGAAAAAGTTGTTTTCATTGCATCATGTTATATATAATAACTATTGTTAAGTTTTTAATTGCTCTATTTGAATATTGAAGTTCATGCACAAAGAAACAATTTGCATAAAGAATGTTTATTTCAAAAATGTACACTTGATTGAATCAACTTTATACATTAAACCATAGGTCCATACTTGATAACATTCACTGTCACACTATACTTCATTCATAATTAAGATGTGTATAATATTAATTTGATACCATAAATTAATTTGGAAATCCACGAGAGCTCATGTGCAAAAATGATCTCATGGTAATATTAATTTGATACCATAAATTAATTTGAAAATCCATTGAGAACTCATGTGCAAAAATGATCTCATGGTTATATCGAGAATATTGCTGTTAATCACACCCTCTAAGGTAACCCCACTCAAGGAGTAACAAAAGATTCAGAATTAAAAAAGGTATCCCAAATCAATACACTCCTAGAATATTGTTCTGTATCTTTGAAGTCACCAAATTTACACAATCAAGTTCAAAGCTTCTTAAAGAGAGAATCAGATCTAGGAGCAAGCTAAACAAAGAATTTTTTCAATTTTTACATATTTTTGGCTCATATCATCCCTTGTCAGGTCTATTTTCTAAAATCCCCAAAGTGTTACTTTCCGGGAAAAGTAAAGATTTTTACAATAACGTAAATTTTTTATATTTTTATGGTTACCATTTTTATTATTTGGGATTATTTAAACATTATCCCCACTTTTGCACTTTAAATCCTTAATGACATCATTTATAACATATCATTGATCGTTTGAGAGAAATTTATCAAGAAGAAGATTGGTATTCCAATTATACATGTTGCTTGCAATCTTTGTCACCCCCTATGTATAATGTATGTAGATCTTATTCTGTCTTTAAATTTTCTTTCTCACCTGGCATGTTATTGTGAACACAATGTTGTTTTATTTTTCATGTACTTTTTATGTATTTTCTTCTAATTATGTGTTTCAAGTTTAAATCGCTGGTATCACTTGATCATCAAGTGCATACACTGCTCATCAAATCCAAATTGTGTATCGAGCAAACCCTACTAAACATTCCATTGACAAATTCATTATCAACCTTTATTTGAGTTTTTTAATCGCACATTTAATTGGTTGATCTGTATTATTTTAGGTCATATCCGTGTTCTTATGTTTTTCCAATTGCCATGACTTAGCCAATGGCATAATAAGAGAGCCTTAACATCCTATAGTTAATTAAAGGAAACACACATCAACACTTTGACAGAGGATAATCTCAACAAAGGAAGTGAATATTTCCAGGTGTGAAGTTGAATAAATCTATAGTGATGTAGATCATCAAAGTCACAGTGCTTATTATTGTTGGATTTACTGACTATTATTTCAACTCATTTCAACTGAGTTTGCATTTAACAATATCATCTCAATGCGTTAAACATTATGAAGATGCTCTATATGTGTATCATAGATTATGATACACCCTAGAGTTTAATTTCAGGCATGTTAACTCTCTTTATTCTTTATTAATTCAACTCCATTTAGATGCTCTCATGCTCATGAATTAAAAATATGACGTCAATTGTAGTTTATTTACAATGTTTCAGGAATCAAATGTTTTTGTTTTTTATTAATCCAGCTAACAGACTATTCCCTTAATACCATACACCACCATACTCCACAAAATGGTCTCCTTTGTTTCACAGAATTAATTGAGAGAATTTATTTGCCATATCCTATTTTATATTGTTTATTATCTGAGAGTAATTGAAAGCGCCAGCGTTAAGTGTCATCCTGTTTGTTATTGTAGCTTTGGTATAATGCGAAGGTGCAATTTAATCATAACACTGGGGAAACAATGAAAAATATATACCTGAGAATCAGAATAACACAAAAATTATATAATATTAAATCATTTCTGAATTTCTGAATGCTTAATTTATTCACCAACTTGCTTCACCAAATGGATTATTCTTTGTAAATAAAATTTTGTTAATTAACCTTGCGACTTATAATGTTAAACAAAGTCGCCTTTTTGGAAATATTCTTTTAACATGTATTATTGTATTGAATAAAACATGATAAATAAAAAAATCTGAATTCAGAAATGTTCCAAAAATGCTACTCATCAATAATAAATAATACATCACAAAAATTAATTTCATGATAATAATGATGACAAACCTTCATTATTATTACCAAAATAATGATGAGCTCAAATACTTGTTTGTAACTCAGATAATGAACACATCCTTCCAGTAGACATAATGATATAGAAGCTACTGATCTACTGATTTAAAGTTTCCATTTTTCGAATAATTGCAATGTTAATCATAAACATGTAGATATTAAAAACCTGCTAAGTCTTGTTTAATTTGGCTATCAATACAGACTGTTACATTTTACATTAAATTGGTATAAATGTGACTGATTAAGATTAATTGTTTAATCCATTTGTAGTTGATACAGAATGTATTTTTGGAGCTTTTTAGATCTGATAACATTTACATTCATTGTCATTATACCGGACATGGTCACCAGGTGGTATTTTTCTATTTGATTGGAGGGCTTGCTAAATAGCTTTGAATTCTCGTTCAAGTCTCATTCGAATGAGATTTTAGGAGATCTGCATTTGAATCATTGGAAACCAACATTTAATGGCATACATTGAATTCTGTGTGTAATTTTCTATTAAGACAACTTTGATTTGAACAGATATTTATCATTTGAATATTCAAATTTCCAGGATTTTCAGGTTTTCTGAAAAAAAGTCAGCTAAATCGCCATTGACACTATAATTAATAAAAAATCTTTAAAAGTTCAATTTCTCTTTTAACACTATATATTCAATCACAATTAATTCATGTGTCAACAAGATTATTTAGTTACATGCCAATTGCCAGTCGTTATACATTATGAATAGCATTCTGGCCCTACCAACACACATGCAGCCATCTATTTATCCATCATTATATATTTCTATAGCAACTCAAGCCATTTGCTCCCTTCTATTAAAATAAAGATACAAGACAGAAGACAGCATTTTGCCAAACATTTATTTTTGACATACAACTTTATTTTTTATTTTTTTGAAAACAATATCAAAGTCAGAAAAAAATTATTCTGAGATTTCACTGATGTATGCCATGTGTACCCGAGGATTTAACAGTAGATTGTGAATATTATATTGTGACATGCATCGGATTCATGAATAATTTCTTTGTCGGGATTTGCTACAAGATAAAGTTGCTGTTTTTGAGTTATATAACATAAGAATTTTTTAATTTGTTTAATGGATATTTGTAATATCTCGCACATGGATATCCCAATAAGAGACATAACTGATTTCATAAAATAACAAGACCTTCTTAACAACAAAATCAAATCTAATGTGTCAGGTGGTGAAACTGAATTCAAAACAGCTAGAAAACCATTATTGTTGATTAAACCACTTCAAAACATTTGACACTAACACCAACATACAGATCAACATTATTTTCAAATTTAATGGTTAAATAAATTTTGATATTTTGTCTTTGATCATAAAATCTAGAGTTTGATCTGGTCATTGAACTCACAATTTTCTTCAATTATTAACACTTCTTTTGTTCATATGAGAATCAGTATTTGATAATGCTAATTGAAATGTTACTTGAGTATGTTGTATTATAATAGACATCCACAACCTGTCCACATAGTCTCATTTTAAATAATGTTTTGGATCAAGTTGTTGAGTGATAAAATTACATCGTTTGACGTATGAATTACCTCTTGAATATTAGGAGGTATTTTAGGAGGTATTGCATTCCATATTGGAGAAGATTAATTTATTAAGTATTATGGATGGCATGTCCAAATGATTTTAATTTCTTTTTTTAGTAATCTAGTATTAAACTAGTATGAAATTCCTGTCTTAACATTGCAAAACTGTCATTAAGTATATGTTTTAAAGGAATTTTAAGATAAAGAGGCAGTTCAATTACATCCCAGGACAAGACCAAACAACATCCAATATTTAGACTGAACAACCTATTTCCGTGATTCAATTATCATCTCAAATATACACACCACATCTAAGCAGATATCAGGCAAATAAATAACATATTTTTACTCTCTCTAAATCTAAGATATAAAAGCAGAAATGTCCGTACATAAGCAATTTTCCTTTTTTCAAATTCCATTCTATTCGATTTTAAATGCTTCTTACTGATCCTCAATTGATTAATATGATTTCCATAAGGAACGTTTTGACTTCCTCACTTCTTGAATACAACATTATCACTGTTTTCTTGACTCAAAAATTTACTTTTGGTTTACCAAGAATAATTTCAAATGAAAAATTTCGTCAACCCTTTTCAATCCTCAGTCTATACAAGGCTTATTTAGGTTCAAATATGGACTTTGAATTTGATTCACCAAAGAAGGTTGTAGACCAGGCTATCATGTCTATGGTCAGAAAATTTTATTTTTAAGCATTTTATCCTCTTTGTGTCGCTGTGTCATAAAATTTATTAAACAAATAAAATAGAATATATTGTATGGAATAAAATGGATGAAATGTTTCAGAAATACAAATGTGATAAGAATAGTGTGCTCT